TCCGGCCCTGACAGGTTCACAGGTCAGTGTCTGCTCCTGGGAGCTGACAGGGGCTTCCTTCTTCTTCCTCTAGAAACAGTGTTTTCCAATCTTTTTTTTATCTCACGGCATCCTTGAATCTGTAGCTAAACTTCCGCAGCACACTTAAATTATGTAGAACAAAAAAAAGAGTTTAAAAAAAAAAAAAAGAATGTACTTACTGTGCTTTCAATTTCTTCTGAAAATAATTTAATTAATGATCTTTTATAATTTTCGAGGCACAGGTAAGATCCTCTCACGGCATATTGTGTGGCCTACTGGTTGAATCAGTGGGCTGAAATCAGTGCTCCGTACCGTGAAGACACTTCATTATTATAGGTGAATTATATTTATAGCCCAACAATGCTCAGAGGACGGTCATGGAACTGAAACTTGCCAAACACTGAATTTTCTTTAGTAAGCGGACTCCATCTTCTGTTGCATTACATGGACATGAGTGCACATTAAGATATAATTTGTTCCCTCAAAGAACTGCATATTCCACAAGAATCTGCTCCGATGAAATCCAAATTTAAGATGCCAAAGCATCAGCGCGGCCGGACTGGACTCCCACCGGAGCAGCAGCCTCGCCTGGTTCTGGCGTCGGCAGGTTCTGCAAGGACCCTCAGCGATCCTTGCCCTTTCTTCCTCCACTTGCTGTTGTTACTAAAAACTTTCTGAGCTGGTTATTAAGATAGCAGCTAGTTGCTGCTCCTCTACTAAAATAATATTACTATGCTCTCTTTCTTTTTAAATTCTATTTATTTATTTATCTAGACAATCTCACTCTGTCGCCCGGGGTAGAGCGCTGTGCCAACATCATAGCGCACAGCAACCTCCAACCCTTGGGTCCAAGCGATCTTCGTGCGTCAGTTTTCTATCTTTGGTGGGAACGGGGTCTCGCTCTTGCTCAGATTGATCTCCAACTCCTGAGCTCCAGGGATCCGATCCCTTGGCCTCTCGCTAAGCTGGGCTCACAAACGCGAGCCACCGCACCTGGCCTCCCTCTTTCTTTCTAGACAGAAATGTCTCCATCCCGCCCCGGTGACGGCGTGGTGCCGGCTGCGGAGGACGCAGCGGAGACCGAGCTGAGAGGGCAGACCTGGGCCCCTCGGCAGGTTGATCGGTCCACGGCCGCCGCTGGGGGGAGCTGCCGGTGAAAGTGCGTGGCGCAAAACGGACGCCTTTAGCTAAAAGCAGGTGGCCTAGGGTGACCAGACGTCCCGCTTTTGAACAATTTGTCCCGCGTGCCGCGGCGTTTTATAAAAGTCCCGATTTTTGGAAAGAATGCACGAAGGGGCGGGAGAACAGGAAGGGAATATACGGTTTTGGGCTGCCATGTGGCTATTTCTCCGGAATATGAGTTTTATATTATTTTTGTTAATTTTATAATGCTAAACTGTAATAATAACAAATAATTGCTGAGAAGTGATTATGGAGAACTGCTTATCAAAGTTTGCATTGTTGTCAGGCCCTGCCCTGCCCCGCCCCCGCCCCCCGGACATGTTGTCGCGCTTTACAAACGTTAAAATCTGATCACCCTAAGGTGGCCCCGCGTGTGCCAGGGGCGCGGGCCGGGGAGTGAGAGAGAAGCTGGGGTCTCGCGCGCGTCGGTGGCGCAGGCTGCGGGGTGGGAGAGGAGCGGGCCCGGACGGGGCCGGGAGGAAACCCGGAGAGAAGGCGGCCCGAGAGGCGTGCGGGAGGGGCAGGGAAGGCGCGGGATTTAAACAGATGCTGGCGTTTCTCACCCACACCGCACACTTTTCACGAAGCACTGTGCTCGGTCCTCACAAGCACCGGGTGAATACCACTGTTCTCATTTCGGAGACGAGCAGGTAGCTTTCGATGCCGGTAGAAGGAAAGGCTTTCCAAGAGTGAACCAATGCTCCGTAGCAGAGGGCTTCATAACGCGCAAGGTTTCAAGACTACAGACGCTGCCAAGGCCTGTGCGCTGTCTCCTGCCACAGCCCTTGCAGCAGGCTCAGCCCGGTGTGAGCAGTTCCTGGCCTCGACTATCCGCTGTCCTGCTCTCTGTCTCCCATTTCTCTGTGAGCACGTACTTAATCAGCTGCATGTGTCCCCTGAGTGGAGCCGTTTATTTTTTAATAGTTGGAAGGTAATATTCCACGTACTGCGTTCCAGCCACTTACATCTTCTTGCTTTTTAGACTTTCAGAACTCAAGAGATCTCTAGGCATGTGCCCTAAAGACGGTTTACCAGGGTCCTCTGGGGATTTTAGCGGGAATGTCAGTATTTGACAGTCAGAGCACTCACTGGACCAAGGGCACGACATTCCTCTGAATGCTGGCTGAAGAATTCTCCTCTTTTGCAAGAAGAGATTAGAAGGTAAACCCCCACAGACAAGATGCTCACTCTTCTTTTTTACTTTGTTATTTTCCTTACCAGCCCAATAGCATAGGCACACCGGTACTCTCCGTCTATGGAGATGCAGTAGTTAAATGTGGAGTTTTCAAGTCCTGGGTTGTATGTAAGAGCATAAGAATTGAGAGTTGAGTAAGACTCTCCTGTTAAATATTCACAAAACCAGTCTTGTCCAAAGGTCTAAGTTTCTTTAGCCAAATATGTAGGAAAGAGCAATACACTGGTTGATGTCATCATTAGAATTCTAAGCATACTCTACTAGTCATTTTTTAATTACAGTATTAACTATCAACTTTTAAACTACCATTTTGGTAAAATCCAAAACACATAATCCAAAGAATAAAGACTATCTCTGGTCACTTATTTTTTAGAGTAGAATGAGATATATGGATGATGTCTTCGTATTTTTTTATTTTTCCCACGGTCAAGTGCTAGTAGATAAAATGGAAGCTTAATTCAGGTAAGTTTAAAAGACAGGTTTGGCTGGTAAATAATCTTAAAGCCTGTTCTGTACTGACGTGCCTGCACATCTGGGTCTCAGCACTCCCGGGCCACTGCCTTCTCAGATAGCACTCTTTGAAGTATTGCCTGGGATTTTTATTGAAGTGCAAGTCTCCAGCTCAGCGCTGAAGATTGGTGCTGTGTTCTTAAGTCTCTCATCTAATAAATAATGAAGATGGCATCTCAAAGACGACTTGGGAGCACGTTAAAGAGCAGCAGGTTAAACACAGCACGACTCAGAGCTCCAGGGAGGCGCTCAGAACGCCGGCTAGGATGAGGAGACTGAGCTGGAACATCCCCGTCCTGCAGCAGGTGTCACGCTCCCACCAAGGGCTGAAAGGGACTTTTTCCTGCTTATTGCTAAATCAGACGCAGGACATTCCTTGAGGATCAGAGAGTGAAGGATGGAAGATAAAAGCACACGATTTCCCTTTCTAATTGTACATATAATGGGGTACATCCGTTTTGTGTCGTGTAGTGATGAGATAGGGGTGATTCGCATATTCATCTCATTGATCTTTGTGTGGGGAAAATTCAGCAGTCACTCTCAGCGGCATAGAACACTAGAGTTTATTCCTACTATCTGTAGGAGATAAGCTCCCTTTGCTCAAGACATGGCAGTTCGCCTCAATGTGCTCCTTCAGGAGATTGTTTCTGAGAAGCATTTCCTTGAGGAACTGAGCTTCTATGCTGGGGGTGGACAGACCGGTCTTGGAGCATTGGGTTCTATTCTCTGCCTTCCTCCCTCATTAGCATTATAATGTGTAACTTTACTTTGGGCGAGCGAGGACCGACAGCCACGCTCCAAAATGTTTTACTCTAAACAAAATCAACTGTATGTGTTCCTCAGCCTTCACACTAAATTGTAATCTTAAATGGTTGCTTCCTAATGTTACTTGACTTCTTTGTATATGTGTTAAATTCTTAGTGAATGTTGGAAAGTATATAAGGTAATCAGTAAAGTTTGGCTGGGCTGCTGACCAGAGCGAGTCCCGGTCTCCCTTGAATATTCATTCCGTCTGCAGTTTTTTCCCCTGCGTCCCCGATCAGAAGCTCCAAAGAACACAACAACAACTATCTACTTGTCATTTTATTATATATTCTTTAACAGATCTCTCCCTACCTCCCCTTCCCAGCCTTTAGGGTCTTCTATTTTTACTACTTAGAGATGAACTTTAGCTTCCACGTGTGGGTGAGTGTGCAGTGTGTTTAACTGTTCCTGCCTCATTTAACAAAATGCCCTCCAGGTTGCTGCAAGTACAGGATCTCATTCTTTTTAATGGCTGATCAGTACTCTATTGTGTAATATGTATCATATTTTCCTTGCCCATTTATCTATTGTTGGACACTTGATTCCATATCTTAGCTATTGTAAATGAATAGTGCTCTAACAAATGTGGGGTACAGGTGCCTCCTCAATACACTGATTTCATTTTATTTGGATAAATTCCTAGTAGTTGGATTGCTGGATCATATGGTAGTTCTATTTGTAGTAGACAGCACAAGTTCAAATACAGCCATAAAACTGCTGTTTGAGAATTAAAATCTAAGAAATTTACACACACATACATGGACAGGGAGGGGGATATTAGAACCACATACAAATTATAAAACATGGACTGGCAAAGATGCTGACTTGTAACTTGATAAATTCTTTAATTGGACCTCTTTACTGTATAGGTTTCAAAAAAAGGAGGGCAGAATAATTTACCAGAAAATGACTCCATAGTTTAAAAAATAGTAATTTCCACATGTACAAAGAATCAACTTTTAAATGAGTTCATATCCAGAGACTTGAGACTATATTAGTTCTAAAAACTTTAGCTCTGTTCTTCCAACTGTATAGAAAATATGTATGTCCTAACCAAAGTAAATAGCTATTTTAATATCTGCCATTTTACTAGGTCAGTAGAATTTCCCACACTAGATAAACCTGATAAATGTATGTTGAAACTGTCAAGGAACAGGTTAACAAATGAAGTGCTTTAAAATGCAATTATTCCTTTATTATAAAACTTAATAATTTAATGATGTCTATACTTTTTCCTTTTAAAAATAAAAGGTGACAGTGAATGTTCAAAACTGGAAACCAGAAAATCAGACAAAAATCACATTTATTTCAATAGCTCAAAGTGCAAATACAGCAAGTCAGTTCAGAGTTTCAAGATACAGATTTTAGTAAATGGAAACTTGATATACAAAAATTGAGAGGGTAAATAGCAGAGATAAAGCTCCTTAATTTAAAAAATAATTCAAGTAACTTGGAAAAATCTCCAGACTGAAATATTCCACTGTCATCAATTAAGAAATGCTTTATGCTGAATACAGTCAAAAAGGGTTCTTCACAAATCATTTCCAGATAAGCGTGGAAGTTCCTGGTGTTTGCTATTCCTGATTTGGCAGCTCTATTCATTGAATCAACTGATGTGGTTCATCCCATGATATTTTGATCTTTAGGCAAATTCTTAAAACTATTTATAAAGTTAAATATAATGCCAAAATTGCCAGTATATATCTAAAAGATTTAAAGCCTAATGTCAACTTTAGTTCTATGATATTAGTGGGGGAAAAACAGAGAACACAGAATACTTTTTTTATTATTTAAAACCCTCTCTGTAAGCTTAGCAACCTTTTAAATCTTCATGAAAACCCGACTTAAACATATATTTATTTCTATAAATACAGAACTTGTATGTAAAGCAGAAAAAGTTTCCCGTAGGAAGATAATCACAGGTTGTTAATGTTCTCCCATCACTTAGTAGCCGTGACCCATGCGTCCTTCTGCTGCCCAGGTGCAATGTTAGCTACCAGCTTCATTTTGGGAAAATGTTTTCCTTCTGGAAGATTTACACGAGATAATCTATTCAGTCTTTTTCTCACTCTTCTTCATCTTTTCATAATAGGCATGAAACTGAGAATCTGTTCCAAAAATTCTGTCCCACCAGGTGAATGTTGATGCATAGTTCCCGAGGAAGTTCATGTGGTGGAAATCGTGGTGCCGAGAGCCAGCATAGAAGGGGATGAGATGTAAAGGGTTGATAGGAATATCATAACCGCTGAAATGAAAATAATAGAGATTACTAAGGAAATATGCACATCTACAATAATTGACATTTTTAATAATCATGTGCTTATTAACTAATTAAAATAATACTTGACTTTGCCTAAATCACTTTATTTCTAAAATGTTTATGAAAGGTAAAAACTTTTTTTGCTTGTACAAGAGGTCTTTATTGGTGGGGAGGGAGGCTGCAGAGCAGCACCGAGGAGGAGAGAAAAGAGGGGAGAGAGATAAGGAGAGAGTGGGGAAGAGGAGAGAGAGAGAGAGTAGAGAAGAGCCAGGGGGAAGATGGGAGAGAGAAGGAAGGCAGAAGGAGGCAAGAGAGAAAGATGAAAGGTAAAAACTTTACAGAAAAATGCATATTCTAGAAACTGCTTTTGGAAAATTAAAAAAACCTTGAAAATATTTCATCAAAGGATGAAAGAGTGGTTACAGTAATGCATCTTTAAATCACAGATTTTCAAGAATTATTTTTCTTTTAAGTTTTAGAGGAGCTTTACCACCACAGTCTGTAACACTTATGAAGTCCACAATACTAAATATATCTTTTAGAAAGTTACATGAAATTAGTATCAAGCATGCAAAACCTCAGGCCCAAGAATTGGTGTACAGCAACTTATTTTAATTCTCAGGCAATGACAAGTTGAAATTAAATGTACCACAATCAAAATACCAAGCTGCTTTTCCAGAGTTGGGAAAACATAAATGATTTCAAAAAAGAGTCCCATTTACAATATTGTCCTTTTTTTCTACGTACAAATCTAAAATCAGATACCCACAGTCTGAAACACCCTAATCCTTCCCTCTCTTTGAGGAGCTGGGAGGCAGGGAGAAAAAACAATGGAAGGAAAGAAAGAATGAACAGGATATCAGTTACAAGTTCTCTTTTTCTATAGAAGAATATTCTCTGCCTAGGACCAGAAGCATTAATTTTGCCATTTTAGCTGTTCAGTTCTTAGAATTTAATATTCTACATTCACAGGTATAGCAATATGGCTCAAGTCACAATACAATGAATATATAATTTCAAAATAATAAAAATTAGAATAAGCATTTAAGAAGGCATTTATTATAAATAACTGACCATATAGAATGTTCCAATGAACACAAAGGAAGCATCTGAAATATGTACATGTAACGAGCAGAGCTTTCATCTCATAAGTGCCCCTTTTTTTTAAACAGACAGCGTCTCACTTTATCACCCTGGGTAGAGTGACGTGGTGTCACAGCTCATGGGAACCACCAACTCCTGGGCTTAGGCAATTCTCTTGCCTCAGCCTCCCAAGTAGCTGGGACTACAGGTGCCTGCTACAACACCCGGCTACTTTTTGTTGCAGTTTGGCCTGGGCCGGGTTTGAACCCACCACCCTTGGTGTATGGGGCCAGCGCCCAACCCACTGAGCCACAGGCGCCACCCCTCATAAGTGCTTTTATCAGTACTGGACACCAGAGACTAAAAACAGTGATGCTACTGTGGGTGATAAAGTGAGACTCTGTCTCTAAAAAAAAAGTCATGAAGTCTGAATGTTTCATTGTTTCTTCAAATGTGAGTTAGGTTTAGAAAAATAAAAAAAACACTGTTGGTCCTAAATATTTATTTTATTTGTCCAAGTTACACATTATCACTATGAAAATAACAGCATAGATCAGATTTTTAATCTAATTATTATATTCTCCTGGTTTTTAAAAAAATAATATTAAAAAGATTGACTTCTACTATTAAATAAAAATGCTTTATGTATGATACCTCATACCTAAACAGAAACCATCACTCACCTATGGACATCAATGGTCTCTAGCAAACGAACGGTCACCCATGCCCAGAGAAGAATCACGTGATCACACAAAAGTACAATTCCAATGAAAAATCCAGTTCCAAGAATCAGGGTTTCCAAAGGATGTGCATATTCAGCTTCCATTCCAAATGGAGCCTAAAACAATAAATAAAAATTCCTTAACATATTGTGATGGTTAATTTTATGTGTCAGCTAGGCTGGGCTATGGGACCAGATATTTGGTCAAACACCAGTCTAGATATTGCTGTGAAGGTATTTTTTATGTGTGGTTAAGATTTCAAACATAAGGAGGGTGGATTTCAACCAATCAGTTAAAGGCCTTAAGAATAATGTCTGAGGTTTCTTGAAAAAGCACTTTTCAAAATTGCAACATAGCAACATAGCCTGAACTGCCAGCTTGCTATTCTATGGAATTTGGACCCAAGACAGTAACAATAGCTCTTACCTGAATTCCCAGCCTGCAGTTATGTTATTTCTCTATGTAACAAAGTATCTAGTCATATACAAATAATAGTAATTCCCATGAAAATCTTTTTGTTCCTACTAAATCTTAGCACGTCTAAGAATATAAAATGTTATGAACTATCTTTGATGATTTAAGATAAAGGTATTAAATAATTATCTTGAACTGTAATTTTTATTTATATATTTATACCTGTTTTATCTAGAATAGTATGCTTGATTTAGCAGACCATGCAATCACAATCAGCACAGAATATACTGATAGCCCATTTGACAAAGCTATATCAAAGCAGTTGTGCTAAAAATCACTTTCTGTGGGAGTTAGCAATGTGATAAAACTAAGAAGTTTAAATATTAAAAGTTTATTGTTTGGGGGTCTCACTTAAATGACCCTAACATTACTTCAGCCATTATGAAACTGCCAGGTTCCTAACTGTGCTGATATAGCACTCTGGCCACAAATAGGAGAGTTTGAATTATTTCACACAATATTTTTTCTTTCAGGTCTCAATTCACCATGAGATTTAAAGACTATAAAAACACTGTATAACTGGGTTGTGTCCATGTGTACATGTGTGTGTTAAGATCATTCCAAAGGAAAAATAAAAACATCACTGACAATTTTAAATGCTCAGAAAATAAAAATAGATATTTTGCCTCTAATAGAAAAGAATTATGAGATTATTTCTAACATACCTGAAACTCATGATGAACTTTATGAATATACTTGTATATTCTTTTGTGGTGCAAGAGTCTGTGCATGAAATAGTGCCAAGTATCCTCAATGACAGCACAGCCAAAGCATCTTGCCAAAAGCATACACCTTCAAGAGAAAATATTGTAATGTGTATAAAATAATTTTTATTGAAGTCTACAGACTTAAGATCACTGTTGGAGATAATATGTAAAACCAAATACCAGCTTGATCTAATTGAATATACTGATCAACAAATTCTCAGAACTGCTGGGAATAGCTTAATGATATAACCTGAATAAAGATTAAAGAGACTGACTAGGGCCGGGCACAGTGGCTCATGCCTGTAATCCCAGCATTTGGGAGACCGAAGAGGGTGGACTGCCTGAGCTCACGGGTTTGAGACCAGCCTGAGCCACTGCGAGACCCTGTCTCTAAAAATAGCTGAACGTTGTGGTGGGCGCCTGTAGTCCCAGCTACTTGGGAGGCTGAGGCAAGAGACTTGCTTGAGCCCAAGAGTTTGAGGTTCCTATGAGCTATGACACCACAGCACTCTACTGAGGGTGATAAAGTGACATTCTGTCTCAAAAAAATAAAAATAAAATAAAGAGACTACTATACCAGTTCTATTTCATTTTGACAAAAATCCACTGGTATAAAATCAGAATTAAGAAACATAATCCAAAACTTCTAGGAAAAGAATATTGAGGAAGGATAAACTAAGATTAGTAATAGCAAAATGAACATTTTTTTCCAGCAGAAGATACAATTTATAAATAAGAGCAATAGGCAAAAAATTTATATACAGAGGCACTACACAGAAGCTCTTTTATATGTTGAATACACACAGACTGTGTCCATATGTTAGTATATCTGTATGCAGGCCTGTGTGTCATCAGGTACAGGCAACTGAATTCAATTATTATTTGAATGCAAATATTTCACTCAGGTTAAATACTTATAATAAAATAAATACAGCATAATAAAGTTTGTGTCCATAAAGCAAAATATATGTGACATCATGTGCCACATAATGACACTTCAACCAATGACAGGCTTCTGTGACAGAGGTTAAGATTGCAGTAATGTATTTTTACTGTACTTTGTCTAGATCTATATATACAAAAACTATCATTGTGCCACAAGTACCTGTAGTATTCAGTTCGGTAATACACTGTAGGTATTACTGAGCTGCAGGCTATACCATCTAGGTTTGTGTAAGTACGCTCCATGATGTTTACATAATGGCAAAGTCACTTCACCATGTACTTCTCAGAAGGGATCCCTTTTGGATCATACATTTAATGACCCATGTCCCTGTGTGTGTACCTGTGTATGTATATATGTGTTTATATAGACTTAATTTTTATAAACCTCAACTATTCTCGTATCTTTCATTTGTTCTATTTTTTTATTTAATTTTTTTTTAGAGACAGAGTCTCACTTTGTCACCCTCAGTAGAATGTCGTGGCGTCACAGCTCACAGCAACCTCTAACTCTTGGGCTTAGGCAATTAATTCTCTTGCCTCATCTCCCAAGTAGCTGGGACTACAGGCGCCCGCCACAACGCCTGGCTATTTTTTTGTTGCAGTTTGGCCAGGGCTGCGCTTGAACCTGCCACCTGAACCCACCACCCTCAGTATATAGGGCCGGCGCCCTACTCACTGAGTCACAGGCACCACCCAATTCATTTTAGACTTTAAATGTAATATATATTTTTCTTAGTATAAGAATGGATATCTGTATATAATCATATAAAAGATATTATGAAAACTTACGATGTTAGAAACTCACCTTCTAATAAAATATTATATTAAAATAAAGATATGAAAACATGAACATTCTAAGTTTCTACTATGGTTTACTTTTCTACTATTTATTTACTTCCAAAGTTTAGAACAAATATTAACCAAATGAAAAAAAGATAAACATTAAGCATAATTTAATTGGATAACAAATCATGACTGAGTATAAAACATCAAATTTTAATCTACATACCATCTTGGCATTCTTTCCCAATCATAAGGAATATTGAAATACTCTGTAAAATAATAGGTTCCACAAATCAAAGGCAGCTGGATACAAAAGTGATTAAAGAGAAGTACTTTAAAGCACTTCCATTGGTTTTTCAATGTTTCGGTTTTATCCTATGGAGGAAAAAATATGGTATTTAATATTAGCCTCTGCTAGTATAATTTAGTTTACCAGCTAGAAGTGAATTCCTAATTTTTTCTCTTCTGTTTACATTAGACCTTAATTCTAATGTTAATTTTATGTTTTAGTAACTAAGGCTTAGAAATCCTTGCCTTCTAATTTTCTTGACAACTATTATCACTACTTTAAACAGGTGAAAAAAGCATTTTATCAGGTACACCTGACCATAGTACTCTCAAACCAATGAGAAACTACAGAAAGAAAACTCTAGTCTTTGCTGTCAGATCATTCACTTTTTTTACCAGAAGTTTCAGAGTAGAGACACCTTAGTTGGGTGTCTCTAATTGTTGAAGAAGTTATACAAGAAGCATTAGAAGCCTTTATTACACAGGTAAATGGATGCTCCCAGGTACTCGTTCCAAAAAATAAGTGCACTATTGTTTATAGATAATGACAAAATTATACAGTCTCTGAGCTGAGAACCACAGAGATGCTTCCTGATAATGGCAGTTCACAGATGCAAGTTAAGATGAGAAGAATGAGATCAATACAACAGAGTGTTCACGAAATGCAACAGGACACTGATTTGCTTAACAAGCCATCATCGAAAAACCTGAGTTATTCAAGTTACAGGCTGAACTTACACACGAAAAAATGCTTTAGGTTGTACAAAATCATGGTGATAATGCTAGTTACTGCCTTAAAAGTCATCACTTAAAAATTCAGAAATCTGCCAGCAAAAGTCATTTAACTGAACCACAATCTTTGAACTATGAGAACGGCTGCTCATCAGCAGAAGCCCAGGGGCCAAAACCATCTCGCCCCTGATGGCACACACAGTGAATAGCAGAACCTGGAATAACTAAAATTTAGGTCTCCAGATCCAGTTCCCTCCTTGAAATTCTTCCAGAGTTATCTTCTTGGCCTGACGTGGTGGCTCACACCTGCAATCCCAGCATTCTGGAAGGCTGAGGTGCAGGTGGATTGCCTGAGCTCACAGGTTCCAACCAGCCTGAGCAAGAGTGCAACTCCATCTCTAAATAACAGCCGGGTTTTGTGGCAGGTGCATGTCGTCCCAGCTACTCGGGAGGCTGAGGCAAGAGGATCGCTTGTGCCCACGAGTTTGAGGTTGCTGTGAACTATGACTGACACCATAGCAGTCTACTTAGGACAACAAAGTAAGACTCTGTCTCAAAAAAAAAAAAAAAATTAAAGAAAAAGTTATCTTCTTGACAAAAATAGGAGAAGCACTGACAGAATCAGTCCAGAGACCTGGGCCCTAACGCCAGGGCTCAACTAACTTGCTATGGTCCAACCAGTGTCCTCAATAATAAAATGAGGGGATTTGACAAGGTAACTTAAAACTGTCTTTGCGTTTCTACTCTGAGCACTATCTGATTCCACTCCACCACACCTCCAGTTTGTGATCAGAACAAAGTAAGTTGGAGACTCAGGCCTGGGTTGGCAATGATCCCGTTTCCTACAGAAACTATGCTTAAAAGACTTTTAATTTCCTAGCTAGAATCTGGTACCTATAGAGCTACAGAAATTACGAAGTTTAATCAACTATAACTAATAACATTGTACATTATACTGTTCAGAGTACATATTAAAAGTTGGCAAAAAAAAAAGTATGCCTAGCGCAGTATCAAAGTTCATCATAGTTTATTTGTCTGTAACTGTACCCAAATGTAAAGGAATACCTTTCTATGTGGAAGAGCCACAGACTTCAGAAATAACATACGTACATCTCTGAGTAAGATTTTTGGAGAATTGGTGAGCTGTAAGTTTGTTTTGTTTTGTTTTTTTTGATGGGGGGGACTGGTCCTATAACATCTACTTTACTTTTTCAAGTGTGCATTAACTGTCAAGTTGTTTATGTCATTTGAAAGCAGAAAATCTTTTGCACTACTTCATCACTACCAGCAGTTGTTTCTTTTTGAGGAGACAATTTAAAAAATACAAAAATTTATCATAGTATTAAATATAATTCTTAAATATTTTATTTTAGAATTTCCAGGAGAGATCACACCTGTAATCCTAGCACACTCTGGGAGGCCAAAGTGGGAGGTCAGGAGTTCGAGACCAGCCTGGACAAGACCAGCGGTCTCTACTAAAAATAGAAAAGTTAGCTAGGCATTGTGGCAAGAGCCTGTAGTCTCAGCTACTCAGAAGGCTGAGGCAGGAAGATCACTTTAACCCAGGAGTCTGAGGTTGTTGTGAGCCAGGTTGAGGCAAAGGCACTCCAAGCCTGGGGACACAGAATGAGGGTCTGTCTCAAAAAAAAAAAAAGAAAGAAAGAAACAAAAAATAAATAAGAATTTCTGCTAGTTCCCTTGATGTTAATCAGGGAATCTGCCTTCAAAATGTATAAACCTATAATTAACCTGTACTGATTTTTTGGGTTTTTTTAAACACCTTTAACTTTTGAAAACTTGTACTGATTTGACATCACAATTTTTTTTTAATCAAAAAAGCTCAAACTATAATGGTTATAACACCAGAGGGCAGGCAGCTGAGCAGAGTTGACAGTTAGACCACCCAGCCTTTCAGCCTGCTCAGAAACTAGTTGTGACCAACTAAATGACTGCTTATTCTTTCTTTTGCCACATTTTCTTTTACCGTAGCTTATATACCCTAACAGAAAAATCTCTTCATCTCTTTGG